TTGATGTAGAGGGCCTTGTTCTTCTAGTGTCCTCTAGTCCTTCTCCCTCCAACACTCTTTCTGCCTCATCTACCACAGTCATCCCTACATCCTGAGGGGAGGGATTAGAGGGAGACATAACATTCAGGGCTGAGAGTTCCCAGGTCTATCATTCTCAGCATAATGTCCGACTGTGGGTCTCTCTATTTGCTCTCATCTGCTGCAGGAGGAAGTTTCTCTGCCAGTGGTTGAGGAAGGCACTGATCTATTGCAGAATGTCATTAGGAGTCATCTTATTGCTATGGCCTTTGAATAGAACAGTGGTATTTGGTTTTACCCTCCACCCTTGTTCCGTTTACTTTCAGGTGTTGGGCACACACACACAAAAGTGTCAGGTGTGTTTTCCATAGAGTGGACCTACAGTCAAATCAGATGTTGACTGGTTACTCCCTCAAAATCTATGCCACATTTGCACTAGCTTATATTGCAGGCAAGACACCTGTGTGTAAATGTGTGTGTGTGTGTGTGTGTGTGTGTGTGTGTGTGTGCCTACCTTTCCATGTGTTCTACACACTTTACCTAGTTTTGTTGTTGTTTGTTTTATTTTGTTCTGGTTGGGTGTTTTTCCTGTTTGTTTCCTAAAGAGAGAGAAAAAGGGGTCAGGGAGTTGGTTGGTTGGCTTTATGGAGGATCTGGGAGGAGATGAGGGAAAGCAAACCATGATAACAACTTACCGTATGAGAAAACGTATTTATAAAAGTCACCCTAATGAACCCATTCACAAAGACAAACTCTGGCTTGTTTTCAATTTACCTGTAGTGATTGTCATAAGTTATCCTCTACCTTATTCTTGAAAGTTTATAGCTTGTAAAAAAACTAGACAAACGACAAGATACAAGGCAAACAACACATAATGTCTTACATATTTATGCAAATGTACACTGCACATGAAATAAGAAGAGTCAGAAATGTTGTTCCCAAAGAATTACATATCTCTTAAGTGATATTGATAAAATATGGAGAAATGAGTACTCATAAATACGCAGGAGTTACACAATAAAGAATATAGAGTCATTTATCAAAATGGAAAATTGTGAGTGGGTGAGTTGAAAAGCCATTTTGTATCTATAGTCAAAGATAGA